ATGGCCCTTTAGTGCCAGCCCTCCCCACCCACCTCCAGAGCACATGTAAAAGTGCCCAAGAAGACTGAGGGAGGATTTAAGTAGCCTTGAACTACCTGAAGGGGGTTCCAAAAAGGAAGGAGCTAAACTGTTCTCAGTGGTGGCAGATGACTGAACAAGGAGCAATGGTCTCAAGTTGCAGCAAGGGAAGTTTAGCTTAGATATTAGGAAATTCTTTCTTGCTAGGAGAGTAGTAAAGCACTGGAACAGGTTACCTAGAGAGGTTGTGGAATCTCCATCCTTGGAGGTTTTTAAGACCCAGCTAGACAAAGCCTTGGCTGGTATGATCTAGTTGGGGACGGTCCTGTTTTGAGCAGGAGGCTGGACTAGATCCACAGCAGGGACTGTCTTTTCATCCATCTTTGTATGGTTCCCAGCACAATGGGCTCCTGCTTCTGCTCAGAGCTCGTAGATCTTATGGAAAGACAAATAACAACATTAATAAAGATATGTAACACTAACAGAGACAGTGATAACAGCATAAATGGAAGCTTTTTTAAAGAAGTAGAACCAGGAAATTAAGATGGCTCTTAAATGGCCAACCAGATTGCATGTTCAAATCTGCAAGGGAAATCTGAGAAAAGAACTAAATACTTCATGCAAAATTTGGACAGTTGAGAATAATCCTCAAATAAAATTTAATTTGTGGCATGGAACAAAGGTGCTCAACCTCCTGCCCCCGCAGGCTGGATGAGTGGCTTTGAGCTGGTTCACAAGCCAATTCCCACAGGCAGGTTTGGTTTGGGGGCTGGATCCAGCATAGGGGTAGTGTACAGGGTCTGTGGGTACAATATAGCATGCTGGTCTTGCCCCATGCATTGGATCCAGCCATAAAGTGACTTCACACACCAGGGTGATCCAGCACACAGGGCCATGTCATCTGGCCCATGGGGCTCCCCACAGGTCTGGAAATGTTGTGGTGGCAGCAATGGCTGTCCTCAGGTGACAGCTGCTTGAGCTGCGCAGTGTGGATTTATGCTGCTGCTGTGGTGAAAAAACAGGCAGCAGGGCAGGCTCCCTGAGGTACCTCCCTCAACCCCTGGGTGCAGGGCTGTGGCTCCCATGGCAAAGCCTCCTGGGGAAAGAGCATCCATTCCACTCCTGTCCCCCAGATACACTACTGGCAGGACAGCTGTGTCTACCCTGCTCCTAGGGCCACAGACTCATAGGGAGATGGGGCATACTGGCACCCTGAGTTAGTGCCCCTCTTACCCTACCCTAGTTGTACTAGTGTTGCTACTGTCACCCAATTTCCAGGAGCCCCACAAGCTGGATGACTCCAACCTGTGGGCTGGATTAGGCCCACAGACTGCACCAATGCCATAGGAAACTTTGGCTTTTCCTTGCTTGAAACAAAATTCTGGAGCATAAACCATCCAAAATACAGAGAACAAAGTTACTGCTTTATAAATGCCTGAAGTGGAAACAAGAAGTAGTGGGGGTCTTACCTCTGACTAAAATCAGTGCTGGCAGGAGCTTCTACCTGACCATGAAGAAAGAAAATGCAGATGAACTTTTACTTGCTTT